GGTATTATATTTTAGGTTTTCTCCTAAATGTGTACTGTCTTTAAAGGTGTCACTGTTTTATTTTAATTGTATTTTTTTACATTTTCCCGTGTTTTTTCTTTGGTTGTAGGTTTACATTGTTTTCCTGTCCCTGATTTGTCTTTGGACTTGGACCCTGGGCCTGTTGTGGTAATCAGCTCTACCCCGTTCACCTGTATAATTATCCTCAGCTCACACCTCTCACTAATCCTCCTCTTCAGTGTTTAAGCTCCATGTTTTCTCTCTTGTCTTTGTCAGATCCTCGGTTTGGGCGCCCGCGCTTCGTCGTCTGGGGTTTTTGGAGCTCGTTTATATGATTTTTTATATTTCCAAACTTTAGTTTTTATGGATCTGGTTTGGCTGAGATTCTCGTTATATTTTTTTCGATAAGTCAGAGTTTGTATTCGGGGCCTTCTCCCCCCTCAAAATCATGGCTCCCATGTAGCGACCGCAGTGTTGCAGTCCTCTTCCAGAAGCAAAAGCTCTTTTGGAAGAACACAGAGTGCAACCGAGTATCTGAGGAGTTCAACAAGCACCCAAAAAAACCCTAAAAACCATCCAAAAGTGCTCAATGAAAGCAAACCCAATCCACAAATATCCCATCCCAGAACCAAGTCCTGGAGGCCTGCTGTCCTGTAAGTGTTTTTTAGAAGTGTTTCTGTTTCAACAAAACTCATTCTGAAGAAGTGGAACCATTTGAACGCTTTGCACAGGCCTGCTCATCACACACTGATGGGAATCAGGTGTGTTGAAGCAGGAAACCCCTCAAAATCTGCAGGGGCAACTTTTGACACCCACAAGCTCCAACTGGTCAAACAGGGCAAATCCTGTGATGTTTTTTTGTTTGTTTTTTTACTGTGCCCACTCTGACTGTCCAGGGTTCTGTTAGGAACACCAGGAGGACCTACTATATAATATGATGAGTAGCAGAATGAAGAAACCAGAATATAGCTCTCGGATTTGCCCCATTTTCAGGTTCCAGCTGCTTCCTGAAGAGCCAAGGGAGCCTTTTCCGTATCAAACAAATGTCAAAATTGCGCAGGCCAGCACCTAGTGCGATGTTAAACGATGTCCATCTCTTAATCTGAGTTTTGAGGAACGATGGTCAGCAGCCGTGTGCGTAAAGCGTCTTCGGACAGCACTGAGGACACTAGGGCCGCACGGACACCGAGCCCGCCCGGTTGCCATCTGAACCGGCCGAGGTTTGGGAAGTTCAGAGGGAGACATCAAACTCTCGGTACCTGTCGGAGGCCACGGAGCTCCCGCTGACCCTCAGAGCTCTGGCGGTGCGCAGCGCGGACAGCAGGCGCGCGTCTCTCTGTGCGTCGATCTCCTCCCGAAGGGTCAGAACATCGTGGATGTAGAGACATGAGTGAGCTGTCAACAGCAGCTTCCCTCCCCAATGGACCTCTAAAGGTAGGAGCTCAGCGTCACGGTCTGCGCTTTGGTTTTTTTATTTTTTATTTGGCGTCTTCTCATGCGTCTTTTCGCACACTCTGGTTCTAGAGTTGACTAAATATTTAAGTTTGGCACAAAGCTCCTAAATGTCCAGATAAAGAGAAGCTGGAGGAGAAAACGATGATGACATCAAAAACTTGTGGTGCCATGACTGTACAGCTGGTTCTTGTTTTTTTTTAGCTGCAAATCTCTATCCTACTTTTTTTGGATAAGTATATCATTTTAACCTCTTTATCTTTAGGGAGAAGCGTTTGATTTAAATGATAATAAAACCAAGAAGTATAGTTTAAGAAGTAGATTTAATCATTTAGGTTTATTAAAGAGTGGATCCATGCTTTTTTACAGTATTTAAGTGTAATTTGATCATAAATATCCCAACTGACGCCTAAAGATGACCTAGTTTGTCATGTCCAGATTATGAGTTACTCTGATTCTTTTCTATGGATTTTGAACCAGCAGCTGAGTGCGTCTGGCCACCAGAGGGCTGCCTAAAGAGACTCAAACACAAATATTCTGCTCTCAAAGGCAAGGCCGCATTGTGAATTTACATCCTTTAGTTCAGTCCAAGTTCAGTTTTGATATGAAATGTTGCTGTTAGAGATTAACACGTTTAGACCTATTATTATTTGTCAGAATATATGGAGCTTTTTGTTTGTTTTTATACTGCTAAGAATGTAAGATTGCTCAATACTGATAAGAGAACATTACCAACTAGAGCCAGAGTTCACACCTAACAGTTTTACTTTAAATTGTTTTGAGCCAGCAAAGGTTGAACTTTCTAACGGTAATGTTAGCTGGTGTCTTTTATTGGTCATTCTGGGAGCTTTGAATACAAAGGATCCAACTTTGAATCTCTTGTTTCAAAGAAATCTGCTGCTAAGGTCCACAGAGGAGTATTAAATCACACTCTCTGTATAATCATGCGGGACATGTGGCTAAACGCAATGAAGAGATTCGGATGGTCTTTTTAAAGTTAGGGCAGACTCAAGTCCCCCCCCCCCCCCCCCAGATGTTAGCCAGACCCGCTCTGACATGCACGCTCAAGTGTGTATATGTTTGAAGACCTGCTTTAATTTTCTGGCAGAGGGATTGTGTTTATACGGAGAGTCCAGTTTCTGAAAGCTGTCTAACGCTGCCCGTAATACGCTGTTGAGAGGCAGGGACACGGAGTACAGCTATCGTTTTCCAATTTAAATTTCTACTTTATTGCAAAAATATTCACTTTGTACATGGCCGTTTACGGCTTGATAGATTGGCTCTGAGATGTTTTGGTTAACGACTTATAACCGCGCACTTGTTTAAAGATTAATAGCAGGTGTGTGTAATGTAAACCTCCTGTTGGAAAGCAATAAGAAACACACCACACCACGAATCCTCCCACAGCTTTCCCCTGCAAGGTGTTTCACTTAAGATGCACCAGATATGAAGCATTTTCATTCACGTGGAACCGTGTTTGTGAAACTCCAACAGTCTTTAATCAGTCTGTGAAACTGTTGAATCCATGTGAGGTAAATGGTTTATAGGGTGGTGATATTCCTCTGGGCACAGAGGCACACAGACAGTAGCTTTTGCAGCGGTTCATGTTTGAGGTAGCCTCAGCGTTTGCTTCTGGAACAAGTGGCAAAGGGAACACGGAGGGCTTCTCAGCCCGGCACCAGTATTTTCCCGCCCCGCTTTGTTTTATTTTGACACACGGCTGTCGCCTCCGCCTGCTGCCAGGCCGACGACATTCACCAAAAGTGCGGGCTGGAACACACCATCCCGGCCTGGACGAAACTGACCACCCCACCGGGTTTGCGTGTGAGACATTTAGCAGCGATAGTCCAGCCTCGTCTGCAAACTGGAACAAAAATCCACCCTAAAAGTAATCGTGTGAAGAAGGGAATGCATGCACGCTCCTTTTTAACCCATTATTTAACTCTGCTCACCACATCTGACACTAAGATCAATTAAATCAAATATGACTGAAAACCTTTAGATTGGGAGAGGGAGAACGTTTCTTATGACCACATTAAATCTAAAATGTGAATTCCTAGTTTATTAATTAAATAAGTGTAGTGTGTCCTAAGTTCTCTGAGCTGTTTCTGACCTAAAGCAGAGACTGCTGAGCTGTGTTCTCTTATATTTTATAGCCAATTTTCAAAATGATAAAAAACATTTTCACGATCAGTCATTAACTGAATGATGTTTCCACTGTGTACACACCCCCATCTCCCCCTGAAGTGTTTAATACAGAGGTGTCAAACTCCCGTCCTGGAGGGCCGCTGTCCTGCAGGTTTTTTAGGTTTGCCTGTTTCAACACACCTGATTCACATCGATAGCAGGCGTGTGCAAAGATCCAATTTATTCAGAATCAGGAGCACACAAGATGGAAAAAGCCTAAAACCTGCATGGTGGCTTCACATTTGCCTGAAATATAGCAGTGTCCATGTCTGCATCCATCATTTTGAATAGAGAGACACATGGAGCTGACCAGAAACACTGAATCTGACCCGGACTAAAACTGTTTTCAGCTAAATAATTGGAAGTTGGAGCAATGTAGAAAAGCCAAGTTTCTCAAACCAGCAACCTCTTGTGTTCTAAGCAGAGCAAAAGCCTGTTAAATACCATCTCATACGTTTTTCTGTACAAGTTTCTTCTATAAGAAATGTTTCTTTAAAAATTTAAACAAAGGGGAGAGGGAATATCCGCCTCTGTTCTGGGATCTGATGCTCAGTAAAAGTCTAAAGCTGAATAACAACATGCCGCGTCACAGGAAGCAAAAGTGTGAGCAAATAAAGCCACTCGACGTTCTAAAAATGCCCATAAAAGCCCAACGATCTTTGGAACTTGGTTTCACTCCATCTGAAAGTAGATCTTTATCCGCTCTGAGACGGGCGAGCGGAGCTCCAACAAACGGCAGCAGGTGGGGCCCAGCAGCACTTTGGGCCTCCAGGTTGTTCAGCAACACTCTGTCAGAGGGACATGGACACATTTTCTCCAACGACAATGTTCTCCGTCCACACGGCGGCTCCTATATTTGATTTACGTTAAGTTAGAGGGTTAATGACAAACTGAGACGACAGTTAGCTGACCGGTTGCTTTGTTAGCTCACCTCTACCGTCCATAACCCAAATTCCCGCGGCCGGTATTGACCTCTGGCATGACCACAACCATAACTGAATTCATAGCTTAAATCTTTACCCCAAAGCTCGCATCCTTACCCCGACAACACCTAATAAAGACGAGTTGATTCAGTGGGAAAACGGGTTTTCATCAAGCCTTCATTACTTTAATAGCATTATGTCTAATTCATCCCAGGGAGGCTTTCAGTGACCCCCGGAGGCAGAGCGTGGCCTCCGGGGAGATTAGAGAGTCCCGGCGGAGAGATGGAAGTGATATAATGTTAGTGTGATGGACGGAGAGGGAGGAGAGAGGCAGATGGACCGCGGCCAATGATCGGCAAGCAGAGTATAACTACAGAGGAGATTTCATAAAGCCAGCGTCTCTCCACCGGGCACAAACGGCAGCGCGTGTCACCGAGGATGAGCGCGGAGACAAAGCCGGACACCGAGCGGGAGGTGATGAAGGAGGAGCAGCCAGGTGCCGGAGTCCATTTAGGCTATTGATTTTTTTTTTGCTCATTAGTCCGGATCGTTCTGATGCTGAGGCGGGGCGGCGCAGGCCATCGGCCGATCGCATCCCGAGAAACGTTTTTGCTCCCCCAAATATGTCACCGGAATTGAGGATCCTGCGCTAGAGAGACGGATTTACGGGGACGCACGAATTAAAAACGCCCCCCTCCCCCCCCCCACCGCCTCGCGTTCGTTTCCCTTGATGTCCTCAAACGGAGGCGCGCGGAGGAGAGAGCCATCCCAGCCCGCGGCCGGTGCCCGGAGCCCGCCGCAGCCCGGAGCCCGCCGGGACCCCGAACCCCGCCGTCCGTCGCCCGGGCTCCGGCTCCGGAGGCCCGCCGCGGAGGCATGGGCTGCGCGCCCAGCATCCACGTCTCTCAGAGCGGGGTGATCTACTGCCGCGACTCGGACGAGTCCAACTCGCCGCACCAGACCGCCACCACCATCTCGCAGGGCACCGCGGCCACGCTGCACGGGCTCTTCATCAAGACCGACGCGGCCGAGAGCCTGCCCTCCGTCATCGCCTACCAGAGCCACCGCCACTCGCGCAACAACTCGTGCCGCGAGCGCAGGGAGAACAGCGGGGGCCACGTCCGCATCGAGGCCGAGACGCAGACCAGCCACACCAGCGTCAAGGTACGGTACAGATCC